GTGAGAAATTCGATTTTTCATTTAATGCATATACGAGGACAAAAAGTTACCTGTGTTGAGCAGTTGAGCGGCGGCCATTTTGAAACTCTCAACGCGGACGAGAGTGACGCACACAGAAAAAGCCAAAGCAGTAAAAGGGCACCTGTGAGAGACATTCCCGCCGCCGCGTCGCTGTTATCAACATAAACGGAAACAAAGTTCCTACATTTGTAAAGTTCTCAGAGTCAAGTTCGAAGTGAGAAGAGAAGCAACAGAAACAGGCAGTTCTCTCTCTGCGTCGGTGTGGCGTTTGTCTGATAATGACAGAATAATGATAAACTTCCTGTTGTTTTTCGTTGGGGAATCACCTGCACTCGTTACTGTACCTTACCTCATGTTGCATTCAAGTCGCCTGGGAAAACAGATGCATTTACAAGTGACGCTGAATTCTTTAAAACTGAAACATAAAACCAAGTTATTAGATAAAAATAAACGTATTGTCTGATCTAAAATAAAAAGCAGTGTTTTATATGAACATTTAACTGTATCCATGTTGACATACAACAAAAACATAATGGCGTGAAAAGGTCATTTAAAACGTCAAAATAATAAAAAAATAAATCTACACTTTTCTATGCACAATATGACAAGGTTAATGCTACACATTGAAAAAAAATATTACGGCTCTGGATGGGCAATGATTTACAATATTTTCAAAAATTAATTATAAAAAAATACTGTCGGGTTATTAACACTTCAAATATAAAATCTACGTGCACAAGATCTGCCTGATGAGACAAAAAGCTAGTCTTTTATTTATTTATATTTTAATGAATGATTATTTAAATGATCAATTTCTTATTCTTCCTATCTGGCACAGGTGTAATGTGGCAAAGTCACCACCAGAGGGTAGAAAAGACGGATGAATCTCAGAGCTGGAGTCATCTAACACAAAAGGTACAAATATACTGTATCTTTCAGAGTTTTTAAAATAATTTAAAAAAATCGTCACAATTGACATTTGACTGATAGTCCTAGAAACAGTCACTCCACTGTTTCTATAAGAGGAGGAGGAGAGAGGAGGTGGAGGGTAGGAGGGGGTCAGGTATTTCTCACAATTGACATTTGACTGATAGTCCTAGGAGTGATTGTTTTTATAAGAGGAGGAGGATAGAGGAGGTGGGGGGGAGGGGGGGTCCAGGTATTTCTTAGGGAATTTAAATGTAAAATTTCTGTTTTCCATCACCGTCTTACTCACATTCTTTCAGACCTTGCAGCACATTCTGTCATGTCCAGACCTGAATGCCTGAGGTCAGGAGGATTTAGTTTATTCATTTCAGTCAACTTTATTTATAATTCAAGTTTAAATGGCCTGTTTTTAAACACTGTTACATCATCGCAGGGCAGAAGATTAAATACTTTCCCGTGAGACTGGATGGAGGTGTTTTTGTTGAGCTGCAGCGCCCCAGCCTGCAGAGTCACCACTGCACCGTGGCAGTCATGAGCTGAGGATCAGCACACTGCAACAGAAGCAGAACAGAACAGAACAGAACAGAAGGCCCTCCTCATGGAGGTCACCGTACCTGCAGCAGCTCCATGAGGGAGACCCCTGGGAAGTCCAGGTGTGAATCTGCACATGTTCTCAGGGCACGGCTGAGAATACCAGAGATAAAACCCCGATGTGTGTGTCCGCAGCAGTTTACTTTAACATCCCACTCAGCGGACGCCTATCTCTGAGGCTGAGCAGAGAACATTCCAGTGACAGAAACATCAGCTCCAACGTCAAAATATTTATATTTTTCTATCTATATTTTCTATCTATTCCAACACTCGCAGTAGCTAATATTAGCTACTGGATAATGATGTGTACTACTGTAGTACTACTAGTACTGTCTCACACACAGTACTACACTGTCTGAGTTCACAGTTTGTAACAACTGTCCATCTTAGGCCGATGTGTTCAACTCGTGAACTTTTCCAAACCCGTCCACGGTCGAGGACCGCCGCTGCGTCCTTCTCAGTGTTTAAAGCTAATGAAAACATGAAGCTTATCAGGACGTTACGTAAAACAAAGAAGAATCCCAGACGGGCAGCAAAACCTCAGTGGTATGAAGACAGTTTTACCTGCACACGGTTCACTCAGAGGAGCTTCATCACATCTGGAACGGCTGCACGGAAAATCTGGGGAATTAGGGAGACACAACGTGGTGGGTGGGATCAGAAGAAGAAGAAGAAGAAGCAGAAGAAGAAGAAGAAGTAGAAGAAGAAGAAGAAGTAGAAGAAGAAGAAGAAGCAGAAGAAGAAGAAGAAGACGAAGAAGAAGAAGAAGACGAAGAAGAAGAAGAAGGGTAAGAAGAAGAAGAATGAGAAGGAGAAGGAGAAGAAGGAGAAGAAGGAGAAGAAGAGAAAGAAAAAGAAGAAGAGGGGAAAGAAAAAGAAGAAGAGGGGAAAGAAAAAGAAGAAGAAGAAAAAGAAGAAGGAGAAGGAGAAGAAGAAAAAGGAGAAGGACAAGAAGAAGAAGAAGAACAAGGAGAAGGAGAAGAAGAAGAAGGAGAGGAAGAAGAAGAAGAAGACGAAGAAGAAGAAGAAGGAGAGGAAGAAGAAGAAGAAGAGGAAGAAGAAGAAGAAGACGAAGAAGAAGAAGAAGGGGGAGAAGAAGAAGAAGAAGGGGGAGAAGAAGAAGAAGAAGACGAAGAAGAAGAAGAAGACGAAGAAGAAGAAGAAGAGGAAGACAAAAAAAAAGAAGAAGGAGAAGAACAAGAAGAAGAGAAGAAGAAGAAATGAGACTTTTCTGGTGTCAATTTTGAGAAACACCATGTTATACTATTGTCACATCAGAGCAGCCAAATATGTGAAACTGATTACAGACTAGTGGCCGTAAGAAAAATATCCATACACTGAAATCCCGTATCAATCTCCTCTGTCATTGATCAGTTATTGATTCTTTATCACCAATTCCCAAATATTACTGGTGTTGGTTCATTTCATTTTTAATCTTTTATCTTTACTATGATCACACTTTTACAGTAACTCAATATATCTTCACGCCTGTAGTATCGCAATATCTATCGTATTGTTGCCCCTGTATCGTGATACGTATCGTGACCAGATTTTTTGCAAATACACACCTCTTTAACTGCAGTAATCTCCTGGTGATGAAGTATTCATGGTGAGGTCAGACTTACATCTAGAATAAAACCACCTGTTACTACAGTATTCCAGAACAACATTCACTCCTGGTGGTCAAAGTCTTCACTGCAGTCCTCACCTGGTAAATGCACACAGAGGGAGGGAGTCCGAGACCCTGGGGGAGGGAGCCTCCCTCCCTTCACTCCCCTCCACCTCCTCACAGACGGCAGCTCCACTCATCAGCTCAGTGGCGCCCTCCCCGCTCGGCTCCTCACAGTGATGACAACGGAGTCACATTTCTGAGTTGGAGACAGAACTGAGCGGTTCCTTCTTCTTCGTCTTCTTCGTCTTCACCGCAGCGGACATGAACGAGGTCAAGATCGCAGTGCTGGGCAGTGAAGGCGTGGGGAAGTCAGGTAGGAGAGACAAATGGACAAACAACATTTATGTTAATACAAGTTTAAATTATTAAAAAAAAAAAAAATCTGTGTCTGCAGCTCTGACCGTCCGCTTTCTCACCAGACGTTTTATTGGCGAGTACTCCTCGTCCTCAGGTAAATACTTCACTACTGGAATACTGTTGTGTTTACGTGTGTGTGTGTGTGTGTGTGTGTGGTGCACATTAACAACACACATTAACCAATATATAACTAAGCCAACGCTGCGTGGGTCTCCTGTCTGCTGCAGGACGTCAGGTGGAATTCCTGAAATGTTTTGTCCTCAACACGACTGACTGACTGACTGACTGACTGACTGTACTGTCAGTCAGTCACAGGTCACGTGACCTCACACTGAGGCCGACATTTAACTGGGTCTACATCAGTATTCACTAGAGAAAAAAAACTAAACATTTGCAGGATTTCTTTTGGATAAACAAACAAAAAAAGATTGACTCAGAAAAATACAATCAATACAGTCCTGTAGAAATTCATTTAAAATTATTTAAATTTAAAATTAAATATCGCGATATTTCACTGTATCAGTATTTTCTTACACACCTATTTAACTACAAGAAGTATTTGGTGATCGTCAATATTGAGCCTGTCATTCCTTTTTTGGCCAGCAGATGGTGCCCAAAACCATTTAAAAGACCTAAAGTATTTGTTGAAATATTTTCTTTGCTCTGACGATACATTGTTAACATCGACCCCTGGATCTAATACGGTGTGTTTCCTCCACAGAGTGTGTGTATAGGAAGTGTGTGTCGGTGGACGGGCGACAGGTGAACCTGGAGCTCTATGACCCCTGCTCACAGGTGCGTTCAAAGATGGCTGCCGTCTCAGCGTTAACTCTCGTTAACTGGGTTGTTGTTCTGTCGTTGCGACGCTGTGTTAGCAAGACGAAAAAAAAAAAAAACCCGATTCTCATCTGATCAGGTTCTGTTAAGGTTCTACTGAGGCTCGATCGGACAAACCTGTACTGAACAAAGTTTTATTAACGAAAATAACAAAGCCATCTGTATCCATGGACCGCACTGAGGAAACTAGGTACCAGGACCTCAGGGTTTGTTTCAATTGGACCAACAAGGTTAGCTAGAGACACTGGTACCGATGGTTTGATTAAAGGTCCGTTAATCTGAGAGTTCAAAGCCTGAGGCAGTGAAGACGACACTGTCCTCAGAGGATCAAACTTTAAAGACATTACCCTGTCATTCTCTGTGCCCCCCCCCCCCACAGGCCTGTGAGGGCAGGACCACTTTACACAACCTGCTTCACTGGGCAGATGGATTCATTCTGCTCTATGACATCACTGACCGCTCCTCATTCCTCACCGTCAAGGCCATAAGTCACGTCATCGGAGAGAGACGCCTGGGCTCAACTAAAAGGTAAAAACTTAAAGTTGTTTTTTTTTTTAATTTTCAATTTTAAAATATTAGGGAATGTCCGATAATATCGGCTGACCGATATAATCGTCCCGATATTAGCACAATTAGGTTTTTCCTCTGATAAACAAAACCCGACAACGCAAAACCTGCGTTTCGCCAAATGATGTGTCACCTAAATATAATATTGGGTGAAAAACGGCTGTATATGAAAGTGAAAGCCACTAGATGGCAGAATTGAAGCTCATTTTATGAATCTCTTTTAACAATCAGGGGATTATATAAATATTTACCAGACCCTTAATGGTATTTCAATTCAGAAGGTGTAGAGGTATTGACTGATATCGGTTTCAGAGTGTGTTTGGACAATATCGGCAGATCAGATATCGGCAAAAAGTCAACATCGGACATCCCTAATTAATATGCAATCATCTGGATCGTCACAGTCGTTCATAAGGAAGGGCCGTAGAAAAGTACTGAGTCTGTCTTTCCGTCCGCAGGGACATGGACTCGTTCATGTTTTTGGTGGGCAACAAACAGGACCTGTGCCACATGAGGGAGGTTCAACATGAAGAGGGCCAGAACCTGGCCGCTGAACTCCACTGCCTTTTCTTTGAGCTGTCAGTTGCTGAGCACTACCAGGAGGTGGCGCACATATTCTCCAAGATGGTGCGCAAAGCCATCGCGACCAGAAAAGCCAAGGAGCGAAGACGACGCCCTAGCGGCTCCAAGTCCATGGCGAAACTGATCAACAATGTCTTCGGCAAAAGGAGGAAATCAGTGTAAATCTGTGATCGTTAACATTGTTTACATTTGTTTTGACTAGCCTTTGCGTTAGTACGAACTGACACACAGTACCGTGCAAAATGTTATGTTTTAAGTAGAAGTGTTAATGATTTGTTTTGTTTTTTAACCAAAATGTAACGATGTGGTGCAAATGAACAGAAGAGAAACCTACGTCACAACAATGTTGACTGCTGTCGTCCTTGGTCTACGATTTTAAAACAACAGCACAAGTTCTGATGGAACCTTGCAGGAAGAATATTCTAAACATCTCCGAGAACCGTACGCTGGAAGGTTCCGGACACATGGCTGTGGTTAGGGTCTGTTGACTCCAGGTGGGCCGGGTCTGTTGACGACCTCAGGCTCGATCCCCATCTGTGTGTTTTGACAGTGGGTTTAAAATCTAAGTGAGACTGAATATTAGAAACAACTCAAAACTCTCACGCTATCGCGAAGACGACCTAATGTAAACCACCTGTAGGTCTACATGGTGGCGTTATTGTGGTTTCACCAGCATGACCATGGGGTGGCGTTAAGACAGACATCGGAATCACGTGGTGCAGCTAGAAGCTAATCACACCGGATGACAACAAATGATTACGTGAGAACCGTTAGCTTCATACATTAACATCTTTAGGGCTAATTTAAAGAGTCATAAATAAAGGAGTCACTGCCACTTTAAAACTTAGTCAATACAACAAACAAACATCGTGATATTAAAGTTAACAATATAATTATTGGAGCTACAGTACTAGAATCACGGTAAAAGAAAATGTCTCCTTTAGCCTAGCGGCTAATTAGCAATTTGCTTCAGGGGCGGAAACATGCTAATGTTTTAATAACTTTTGTGATTGGAACCAGATTTAACGCATTAAACACAATATAAAAATATTCTCTGAATGAATCTGCTCACCTTGTATGAAAACGGGTCATTTTCGATGTTTTCGGGATTGACATCGACAGGTTCCTGTGGAATTAAACCTGGACAGACGTTGTATTTTGTTCAAAGCTGCAGGATAACTACGCTAATTGTTTCTCATCTGGTTATATCTTAAAACGTTCGTCTTTGTCTCCATCTTGTGCTCAGTCAGGAGAAGTGCAACCTCGGACACAAATATAATAAAGAAAAATCCAACAACCCATAAATCGACTATTGTCTACAGCAAATCAGTTAAAACACACAAACACAGTGGTTTCTTTCTTGAGATTTATTGTGCAATTACATTTTGATGAGCATTAGGATTGGCTAACATGAAGATAAAGCTTGGAAACTGTACTTTAAAAAGTATGCGATAAATGCAAAAGTCAAAATCATCAAGACACATACATATAGCATCACATAGACTGTATATATAAATGTGATTATTTTTTAAAAAAGCGATAAAACAGAGGTTTAACCAGGTTTTCTTGCCTGGTTTTACACAAACCACCACCTATAAATATCTGTAACACACAGTACATCTGTTTAAATGCACCCGCTTAATTAATTAGCAGACAGTTACATCAGTATGTCTAATATAGTCTGATAGATGTGTATATGTATATATATATATATATTAGACACAGGAGTGAGTGTTTCTGTCAACAGTTTAAATTTGTTTGTTAGATTTTCTTCTCAAACCAAATGGACAATAAAAAAATATTTTGTCTGAGTTTGTTCAATGTACACAAAAACCACCCTGTAATAAAAGAACTCAGAAGTACTGTATACAATTATAAAATATTTGTCAGCTCCGAGCTAGAGATCATTGATTGGTGTGAAAATATTCAGATTTTTTTTATTTTATTTTCTAATCTCCTAATATGAACAGTATAGAGTGAAAATTCAAATATCACAGTAATACAACAGACCTGACAGTAGGGGGCGTTGCATACTCAATAGTGATTATATGGCTATGATAGATGTAACGTAATAACAGATCAGCATGAAGAGTTCACGACAGACTTTGGTGACTGTAGAGTTCCTGTAACAGTTCTAGGACTAAAGACTGACAATAAAGAACGTTGTTCAATAAAAAAAAAAGTAGTAGATTAGTGTGAATCATTGGAGATTAAAATAAATCCTGCCTCTGAGACTGAACTTTAATCTAAATCTAAAAAAACCCTTTCCCAGGACCTCGAGCTGTGTGTTTGACCACGGTCCTTAAAGTCACACGTTCTGGTGTTTTCACAGCGTTCGTCAGTCGGACTGAATGTTCAGACTATTTATAAAAAGTGCTTCATTTTAATGGTGATCTTTATAGAAAAAAAAAATCAATATATGTCAAATAATTTTTTTTAATCAAAAATGTCTGTATAATAAAAACGTCTTGTTTTTTTTTTTTTTATGTAACTGGAAAAAATGAGTAAAAAACACTGAAAAAGAATTAAAATACATATATAAAATTTCCCCACATTTGTACTTCACTGATGTAGTATTTTAACACATCCACTCAACAGCTGTGTTGTTTCAGACTCACTGAGCAGTAACGTAAAGTAATATTCATGTAGCGGATACTTGTACTGCGATTGTACTTCAAATTATTGTTGAATGAGAGTAAATAAAAAACAGGTCCAGTGTTAGTAAAGTTAGTATAGTAGTAGTTGTAGTATACACACGTGCTGGATGAAGTACCAGCAGCTGGAGTACACAGACAGACAAAGGTCAAATATTTGGTCTTTAAAGCAGCAGCGCATGATATGGTTGTTTTTTTTGGTGTTTTTTTTAAGAACTGTGTAAAAGTTTCTGTCGACGATTCTAAAGCTGACGGGAGTGAATCAGAAGCTCATACATACAGAACGCCCAGCAGGGGGAGCAGCAGATGTTGAACTTGGGCTGGAGCTGCAGCTTCTGGTTCTGAAATAAAAAGTGGAAGAAGAAACTTCTGCACAGCTCCGTGTTTTATTGCACAGTGGTGAGCAGTGGCTGAAGCAGCTGTTAGTCAATAGCGCCACCTCTCCTGACCGTGGCGGTGGTGCACGCAGGGCCCCCCTTAGAGGATCACACAGCTGGAGGAGGAGTCCTGATCAGCACTGCTGAAAATTAAAAAATAAATGAATTCAAAGCTGCATTATTGAGTCTCTACAGCAGGGGTCTCCACCAGTATAAGTTGGAGAGACAGAATTTTGAAATTAAATGTTAAATATTTTCCGTTGATTAAATTAATTCTGGAGTGAAGTCGTCACAGAGATGACAGACAAACCAGTGACATCAGCAGTGACATCAGCTGTGACATCACCAGTGACATCAGCAGTGACATCACCAGAGGTTTCTTTTTTAACAGCTTCCATCCTCCTACCTGGCCTGGAGGGTCGGGCTGCTTCCCCCTCTGGGGGGCGCCACCCTCCCACTCAACAGGAGGGGCCTTCACGTTGGCGTCCTGACAGGAGGGAGTCAGAGAAGGTTCACAAACAGAGATGATGATGATGATGAATGACACTGATGTGTGTGTGTGTGTGTGTGTGTGTGCGTCACCAGGTTCCTCTTCCGTCCAGGGACGTTGGAGCTGCTGCTGCTCAGGACACCGTGTCCGTCAGCTGACTGCTGCAGGTGGTCTTCTCTGCGGTGGACCACCGTCTGTTTGGACTGGAGCTTCCTGGAGACAGAACCCAGACTGTCGTGAACTGACCGGGTCACATGGTCAGAAGATGAGTTGAGGTCATTAAATAATAATAATAATAATAATAATAATAATAATACATTTTATTTATAAGACCATATATGAAGCCTCAGTGTTATTTTTTAAAGAGGGGACAGAAGGTCAAAGGTCAATTCAGATGTTGGTCTGTAATTGTTATTGGTTGAAAATTAAAAAATAAATCTCTCATCAAGGTGTAAGGAGTAGACTGAGTTATCACTGGTAATACCATGACACTACATACTCTGGTACAGTAGGTGGCAGTATGCGCCTGAACTCGTTGGTTGTGACCCACTGTGTCCCTGCGCAGGTTAAGAGACGTTCAGGTGTTGAAACAGAACGTGGGAAAAATGTAAAAATAAACTTCTGTTTCTTTACATTCACTCAAAGAAATCCTGGTACAGTATGTAGTCAAGATGTTTACAGTTGGTTCAAACTGTGGTGCGTGGCTCTACGACTGCGACTCGGTGTTTTCTCACAGACCTAAATTTGTTCGTCTCTTTAGCTAACAGTCAAATTGGAGAATTCATCATCGCACGTCAACCGGAGGAACCTCGGCATCATGGGAAGATAAAAAGAGTTAAAGTGTCCTCAGCCGTCATTAAAGCCCTGGTCTGCAGCCCCGAGACGGACCACGAACCACGGACCTCGGACCACGGACCTCGGACCGCTCACTGAGTGTCACCCAGCATCGATCCACGCACTAATGAAGTCCCCGGGTGGGTGTGTGTGTGTAAGTCATATGATTATTTAGTTTAACAAAGTGAAGGTGAAATCATCATCAACAACAACAACAACAACAACAACAACAACAACAACAGTCGTCCTCAGGTCATTAATGTTTCATCATCACCGAGGGCAACGACCAGCAGAGGGAGACGTGTCAGTCCAGGCCGCGCTCTGTGTGTGTGTGTGTGTGTGTGTGTAGTCTTTGTTGAATCAATAATTTAACTGTGTGGACACACACACACACACTCACCCCTCAGTCCTCCCCCCTCTCCCCCCCCTCCTCCTCCTCCTCCCCAGCGGTGTGAGTCCTGCTGACCCCTGGTCCTCTCCTCCTGTCCCCCTCCTCACTCCTCCATCACAGCTAATTACGCTCCCTGGAGCCTCAGCCCCGTCTGCTGTGGCGTCTGAGTTCTCTGACAGCCACCTCTCTCACCCCTCCCTCACCCTCTCTCACCCCTCCCTCACCCTCTCCTCACCCCTCCCTCACCCCCCCTCACCCCTCTCTCACCCTCTTCTCTTTCCTTTTTCCACACAAAGTGATAAACTAATAAGGACCGGGTCGAGACTCAGGGGTCGGGGGCTTCATCGGCAGAGGTGGACCCG